TATGCTAATTAGACTAAACATCCTTCCAGACGAAGTCAGCGCTGGGAGAGAAACCAGGGTCCCACGTGCCAGACGGAAGCCAGTGCCGGCAGCTGGAGGAAGGAAGACCTATTCTGGCATGAATTCTGTGCATTGGGCCTCTAGTTGAACAATAAAATTCAAAACTTTAATTAAGAAATAATTTTTAGATAAAGTGAAAAATATAAAAGGTACACCACATTTCAAGAAAACTCAGTTCAGAATAATCAATGTCAACTTATTCTCTATTGATGCTCAAGTATGAAAAAAGAATGATCTAGGTATTCAAGCAAACATAAGACATGTCACATACAAGATATAGGGTTAGTTAGCTATAGACATTTCCACAATGATGTTCTGTGTCAAAAAATAACAGACAGTATTTTAAAAATATCTACAGAATTAAAAAAAAGTCATTTGCCCATGAATATAATCCCCATAAGGGTACCATTCAAGTGTAAATGAAAGAGGAATATTTCTCACTTAGGAATGAACTCTATCAGCCCTTCTAAAAATAACTCCTAAAAATATAAACTGGTTGATGATGATACACGTGAAATCAAAAGATGAATGGTACACTCATCAAGAGAACTAATTCAATACTCAATGCCAAAGAACAGAAGAAGAATATCTACTAGATTCTTGGGGAAAGACTATATGGCACCAAATTTTTATATCCAGCCAAATTTTCCTCGGTGACAAAACAATAACATATAATATCCAGTAAACAAATCTCAGATGATAATACTTAAAGGTCCTCACTAACAAAGATGGTTAATAATGTTTAAAGGCCTACCCTACCTTTTCTTTACCCAATAACACATTTATCGAACAATCTTCAGACTTTGTACAAAGGAAGATTACCGTCTTCTAGCAACAACTAAAATATAAAGAGGTCTACCTATTAGATATTATAATAGTATGTAAAATTATATAGGAAGTCAAAGCAAATAAATATACCAGCCTTGAAGATAAGCAAATGTGTATTTCGTAAGGGTCTGTCGTCTCCAAACCATAAAGCACGGGAGTAAGCTTAGTGTGAATTGACTTAGTAATGCACTTGGGCCTGCGGACACAATTTCAGAGAGAAAAGTCACTTGTAGAATATCCAAAAGTATCCTTAATAAGCGATATAGATTTTCTTGTTTTTTCAGGAGTATGTTTGAAGGCAATATTTTATTTTCATTGGAATTCCATAATTACCACCAAATCATTTACTAAATTTGAGTACCTATAGACATTTGTGAGTTCATTTTGTTTCTTTGGGGGGAGTGTTTGTTTTATGTTTTCATTAATTGCCTGAAGTTTGTCTTTCATGTGTTCATTAGTAAGAATTCTTAATATTCTCCTTCCTGACTTGTCCTTTTCTCTTTTAATTTCAAAAAAACAAACTCCTTCAGTATCCCGTTATTAGAAAGACATCTTCCGACATTTTCTTTAAATTTTTCTGGACTTTTTATGTAACTTAACCCACCTAAAATTTATTTGTCTTTAGCATGTGAGATAAGGATATAATTTTATCTATCATGAGATGGATAACCAAGCAACCTGAATTATTTATTGCATAGTCATCTTTTCTTCACCCATTATAAGTAACACTGTCATATTGATACATGAATTTTCCATATGTCAATCATGTTGTCTGTGGGCTTTTTAGTCTATTCCACAGATATTTTTCTACTCCTTGGCCACAATCACATACTCTTTATTATAACTCTGCAATGGGGTTTTTTTTAATCTGATAGGGCAAGTTCTGTTTTATTTTAATAACTTTAAAAAATTTTAAGACATGTGATTTGTCCTTTTTCACAATAACCAGTTTGTTTGCTTTTGGTAGGTCTTTCGTAATTGTTGCATTTTTTTTAAAGAAATGTATTCTTCCACTCATTTATTTGAATGTATGAAGTACACTCAAAACAACTAATTTGAGGAGAATTTATGCTGATTCTATTTCTGAGCCCAACTATATAATTTTTGGTTTTCAATCTTATATTTAATATATTATTACCCTGTGCTTGGAGTGGAACATGTAAACTCATTTTGCTATCTTCTCCTTCCCTTATAAATATTCAAAAGAAATATAATAAAGTTTTTATAAAATTACTCTTGATTTCCTGAAGAGTTATTGCAACTGCATCAGCTATAAAGAAGAAAACAGTAATTTCATTTCCATCTTTTTGGCTTCCCAGATTCAAGGGTCACTGTCCAGGGTCCAATTATAGATGGCCTATCATCAGTATAGAAGTAAAATGAGCCTCTCCCCTCTCCACTAGTGGTAGCTCTCACTTCATGTATATTTTAATCCATGACATACATTTTTTAAATTTATATTCTGCTTTTTATGAGTGGGGATTTTAGAATGCAATGCTCCAGTCTCTTCTTTCAATGGTAAAGAAGAAAGAAAGACAGTTATTGCTCATTTTAGCCCATTGTCATATGGCACAATTTTAGTGTATTAAGAACCTGTGATCTGGGACTTCATTACCCCTGGCCACTTTTACTTACCAGAGCAAAAGGCAAATGGGATTACTTCACTTTAGGTTTGATTTTATTTATGGGAAGGGGAGATGGGGGGGGGCAAAAGTAAATTTTATTCTTATTATTTTATTATTTTCCATATGAACAATTGTAAACCTACTTTTGCCCATCCTGTATTTGTTTTTTAATTCTAGACTCATTGTTAGTCAAGGAGTGGTAGTTCCAACAATAATCTGGATCTAACTTGTCAGAAAACAGTCTTGATATTCCCTAGGTCTATAGTTATAAATGCAATTATCATAACCTGTTCTCTTGTTCTAATTGGCATGTTTACTGAGATAAAGTCCACGGCAAGTGAGCAATACCTTCCCTACCCAGTTCACTTTCTTAAAAGAGAAGCAAATGCTTGATTCTTCTGGCAGCAGCGACTCTCATTGGTGGATAACTGCATGAAGCCATAAAGTTTGCCATTTGATGCCTTGTGGACTTTCCTTTACATTAAATCAATAATGCTTTACATTGCATAACTTCACTTGGGTGATATAATGGAGAATGCAAAATTTGTGATTGTTTCAATGAGAAATGCACACACAAATGTAAATATTAATATATATGTTAGGCTTTATATATACACTAGAGGCCTGGTGCACAAAAATTTGTGCACTCGGTGGGGAGGGGGGTCCCTCAGACCGGCCTGTGCCCTCCCGCAGTCTGGGACCCCTCGGGAGATAACACCCTGCTGGCTTAGGCCTGCTCCCGGGTGGCAGAGGGCAGGCCCAATCCCTAG